GTAGCAGGAAAAGCAGCGGCTGGAGAGAATGTGAGTCATGGGCATCAGGAAGCAAGGTTTGGAGTGGTGAGGCTTTTGCACAAATATCTGAATAGAAAAACTGATCAATGCCTACCTAACTGTGGAACGCTGGAGGAAATTAGAATCATCTTAGCAGATTTAACCGCATGTCTCTGGTGTAAACTTCTTTGTCAGATTTTAGTAGCGAGGACACTGTATCTCCTTTAGAGAGCCGACGGATGGCTTCCTTAGTAGGATGCTTGGACTTTTCCTTTAAGAAGCCATTGCTCGCTCTGAAGGTTTTTACTTCCACTTTCAAATGACCAAGCAGGGAGAAGTGACGTCTTCTTGCGGTTAGCATGATCTCTCAGCACCTACACAGCACAGCCACTGAACACTGGACGCCTAGGGATGCTTGTGCACTTCATTGGTGTCCTTGCTGATCTCATTGCAGCTTTCTTAGACATGTACTCCATCATCATATCTACAACGCTGATTCTACCCTTTCTGGCTAAGCCTCCACCATAGCCATAGATAGATTACAGCTGTTTGAGCCTTTGCTCTGCGCTCACAGCATCCATTCTACACCGTCTATGGGGGAGTTTGGAGCCTAAGCCTCACCTCTGCCCAGTGGCGATGTTCCAGCAACACTGAAACAGGAAAAGTGACTTCTTTGCAAAGTTTCAAATCTGACCCCAAAACGCTGCACTACCAAGAACTGCTGTTAGGAACTCTCTAAACATATTTAGTGACAAGAAGGAAAACTGCAATTATTGCTTTCCCCAACATATGAACCCATCCTGAAATTACTTTGTGTTTTGTTGACTTTCTGGTAGAATTAAATGTAGTTTTTTAAAGGTGTATTTACATATTAGTTAGACTTTTAACTTACAGTGTATGACCTAGATGGGACCAAAAAGGAGGCTTATGAGGCCACGCATGGGAGACTGGCGGTGGGCCTGACTCTTCCCTATATAGAACCCTACACGAACAATTTACCCCCAATGAAGAAAAGGACTTTGAAGTCATTTTCCCGAGGACAGAGCACTCAAAGCTAGTAAGTTTTTGCATAGTTGGGGTAAGGGAGATAAGATTACTAAGTCAGCTATGGTCAGAGAGAAGCATGTCCCAATGTTCCATGGACGTTCTTCTCATGAACGGCAGCTTTGTGAACCAAGATAGTCTTTACAACATGTGGAAGAAAGAGACCAGCCACGCTGAACTTGGGCAGCAAGAGAGCTAAGTCCTTCTAAGGGAAGACACTAACAGAGTTAGAAAGACTTCGCCTAAAAATGACGCCACAGCCGAGACAGGATGCCCTCGGGACACTGTTCTAAAGTAATAACCATGTCCTTTAATTCTGACAAATATTTACATATCGCTAAGCTAGTGAGAGCTACCTGGGTTTGCACTCATGTAAAGTAAGCAACTCTATAAGATCTATACTCCGCTCTTGGGGGCAAAGTACGCGGAGCACCCACTGGGACTAGTCTCTCCCCTGGCAATGGAGCCCATAAAGACACAGTAGATAACAAATAGAAGTCAAAAGCAGCACTCGAAGGCTCACCAAAAATGTATTTTGTGTACATGCTACGATTTGTCCCTGTTTCTCACATTCATATTGCCACTAGCACATAAATAAACATTTAGGTAATGGAAAGTTTATTTTTGAAGTTAATGTCTAGGGTGACCTTGAAACATTTTATTTTGAAGAAATAAACATATTTCTTATTACTCGCAACTCCCTTTATAAGCCTGATAAAAGCATGTTTTCTTTTTCCATGTGAACAACAAACTCTCAGCAATCCTCAACTCTGTCCATTCTAGCAATGGAACGAGAGCGTAGCCATTATGGAGGAATTATTGGGTAGGACAAACTGTCTTTTGCTGAAGTCATTATTGCTTCTAATGCAAAAACTCAAAAGAAAGCAGATAAAATACAACAGTAATTATTATAGGCAATAAGAGGAATTATGACTGTTTCAGACAGATGGACATCTGGACAATCAATAACATTTCAGCACTCCGTTTATATGATAGCTTGTAGTTACAGTTCTTCTCACACCAAAGTGGTCATTTTATTGGTTCTCTGGAGAAGTACAGGGGCTGAAATAAAGAACGAAAGTGCTTGTGTATTGTCATCAACCCGGAGGACCTGTCAAGCCACCTTCTGCATTCAATCGACCTTTACATAAACACATCCTTAATACAGTACAGTTGAAAACACGTAGCATTCTTATTGAGTCAAAATAGCTAGTGAAATCGCCAAGTTAATTTTGGTAGAATTGCTTCAGATGGCAAAAATACCAATTCACTTCTGATTGGAATCCAGACAACTTGCTATCAAAATGGTAGCTAGTTTTGTTTGTTTTGGTTTATTTTTGTTTGTCCCTCTTTTTGAGACAGGCTCTCGCCTGTAGCTCAGGCTAGCCTTGTACTCAAAGCAATTCTCCTGCCTCAGCTTTGTGAGTATTTTTTTTCATTTATGGGTATGAATGTTTTACAGGCATGTGTCTGTGCACCATGTGTGTATAGCATCCATGGAGGCCAGCAGAGGACACCAGATGCTCCGGAACTAGGGTTACAGACAGCTATCAGTCACCACATGAGTGATGGGAACCAAGCCCAGGTTCTCTGCAAGCCACAAATGTTCTTAACCACTGAGCCATCTTTGTAGGCCCAGTCTTGGTTATTTTAAAAAATATTGTTATTTATAAGTAATGAGAAATATGTGTAATGTATTGTTTATGAGTGAGGTGAGGATGTCTTTCATTTTATGAGCAGAGAATAAGAATGAAGCTAAGCATTCATAAGTAGTCTATTTCTGCTATTCTAGGACTCAAGAGGTTGAGGCAGGGTTAGTGCAAGTCCGAGGCCAGTCTGCACACACACCGTGAACGAAGTTTCCTGGGAGGAACTGAATTTTATGTAAGGCTGATTAAATGATTAGAACGCCGCTATTTGTAGGGAGGCCAGGATGCTACAGATAAAAGAACCGACTTAAAATGCACTGTGGGCTATCTTCAGTACTCCTAAATAGTAATTCCTGGCCTCCCTCCGTGTCTGCCACGAACAGGTAAATTCTTTCAGAACATGCAAAATTGACAAATCACTAACTGTCACCAAGCGATCAGCTAAGATTGTCATCAAATCTGAGGCCTATGATTTCCCCGCTTTTCTGTGACCTACTTACCTGATGATTCCACCCATATGTTTCAAGACTCTCTGTAAGTACTAAAGAGAGGAAGAAGGGAGAGAGGGAGGAAGAGAGGCAGAGAGCGAGGGAGGGAGGGAAGAAGGGAGAAGAAAGAAAAGAAATATAAAAAGGGCAGAGAAAAGAAAAAGAAGACGACAGGGGAGTCCCTCTAGGTCAGGATTGGCTCTTTGCAATTCCTGCTCAGCTTTGCCAGCCAATGGAAGTCAAGGTAGAGGCCAGGGAGGCTGGCGAACAGGGAGTTTACAGCTGCCTTTGAGAGAATGAAAGCCCTGGTCTTTTGGCTAGAGTTCCTGGGCAGGAGCTCTGCAGATGGTTAAGAGCCTTGAAATGCACCTCTTCTTCCTCCTGCAGCCTCTGTTTAAGGAGTCTGGATCCTTTTTTCCAGCAGCTTTAAGCCCAGCAGTGAGATTTCACAAGGGTTTGCTCCTTATCAATAATTTAAAATATCTCTATTTGAGTAGATATCATATACATAATTGAATGAACCCGTGTATGCATGCTTTCCAATTCGAGACTGAAGCTGCATAAAACTAACAAGTCTTGTCTGTGTCTGCATTAGACAGAGAATCCACCTTTTTACTACAGGAACGGTCCATGGAAAGACTTTTCTACGAAGGTTTCCAAAGTGATGTGTTGTGCTGTGGAAAGGCAGAAGTGAGATTCACGCTTGAGGGTTTCCTGTGCTGGTCATGTCTGTCTTCATATCCTGCCAGTCAGTTATTTATTATTACTGTTATTATTATTATTATTATTGCTACAGTGGTGTGTGTATGTTGCATGGTCTCAAAGCTAAGGACAGCCTTTTCTCTCCCTGTCGCCATTTTTCAATGCCCTCCTTGTCCTTTTTCTGTTCTTCCCATCCTATGAATCTTTTCTAAAAACTCATAAAAATGAAAGTTCTCCCACACCCTCCTATGCTTTGTAATGTGCTCCCTGGGGCAGCACTCCGGCTAGGCCCTGGTAGTTACTACCGCAGTGGCCGCTAGAGGGCGACTCAGAATGGCGTTTTCCTCGTTTCACCTGTTCTGGATTATCCTTAGCAATGGTCCTCCATCCTGGGGTGGGTGCTTGGTTTTCGGCCCCCTGATTTATTTCCAGAGTTGCTCGAATTAATCTGAATGCATTTTTTTTAAAAGAAATATAGGCACCAGCACTGACTCGGAAAGCTTCCCAGCATTCCAGCATTCCTCTGACATAGCACCTGCTGGGCAGAGTCCCACCCAACCCACACTCCTAGGATCCTGAAAACAGGGCTTTGAGATGGGCTAGATAAGGGAGACGGATCGAACACAAAGCTTAAGATTCCGGTCTGCAGAGGCTGCAGCTTTTCACCCCTCCCCTTTGTTACTGCTGCACCGCCTCTCGGGCTTTTCATGTCTCAGGTGCCAGATCTTGTAACCCTTCACACTAAATCCCCACGGTCTGATTCCTACGGCAGCTTCTCCTTTCCTGAGTGATCTGTGTGATGCATCATGACCCCCAAAACTGCTTTATTTCGGTGCCTAAAAGAATCAATCCCTTTATCCGTGTTCTCTAAATGATTAGCATGTCCAGTTATAGCTCTCTGGAACCTGGGACCTGACAACAGAAAAGTAGCCGCACTATCGCTAAGCCTGGCTTTTTGGAGCCGTGTGCTCATCAGCCATGCTGTCCCCGCTGCAGGCGTCCATCTTCTTGCTGTTCCGCGTCCACCCGCCCACGCGCCGCTCCCCTCACCTGACACACTCCTCCAGGCGTGCAACTGCTTCAGGCCTATGCCTTTTTCCAACCTCAACACACTTACCGCTTCTTAGGGGGAGCTTTTCCAAAACTTCCTCTGCTGCAAGACCTGGGATTTCCAGGGCACTTTGCAGCTCTTATAAAGAAGAGGGTTTAAATAAATAATTGACTACTTCACTACTCGGAATGTAAATTAGATGAGGCCTAAGGCACTGTGGTGGCAAGTGGCCTGAACCGGCTAAACCATCCTGAAGCCAAGGTTCTGGGCCTTGGGACTACGGAGGCTTCGCTTTGAGTAGAAGAAAGCCTCCGTCTAAAAGAAAAGACAAAACTCAGATGGGCAGGCCAGGCCAGGCTGTGTTTGGAGAACTCCTGAAGACCTTGTGTGTTCACAGAGCACAGAAAAGGTCAAATTCCCAAAGCCAGGCTGATAAGGAAGGCTGCTGGGTGTTAAGACTCAAGAATGACCTTGAAGGCAGGCAGACCTGCCCTAACTGCTGGCAAAGGGAAAAGGAAGGGCCGGTGTTTAACACACAATAAACAGAAATGGTCTATAACCCTTTCCCCTTCACGTGACATTTTTTTTAAAAAAAGATTTTAAATTATGAGGGTTTTTTCTTTTCTTTCCTTTCCTTTTCTTTCTTTCTTTCTTTCTTTTTTTTTTTTTTTACTGAAATTTTAAAGACTTTCTTCCCAGTCACTGTGTAAACACAGTTGCCAGTTTCTTACAAAGCCCTGAAGGAGCAATCTCAAAAAATACCAGAGTACTGAGACGTCAAGGTACAGTGTTCCAAGTGGCAGGCTGCTAAAGAGGGTGCCAGGACACATGACAACGGTGGGCACTGCAGGCACAGAGAGACAAAGCCTTTGATCCAGAAGAGTGCCGAGCCAGGCCGTGAATCTGGGCCCTGAAGCTGACAGAGCTTGCTGACTGTCACTCAGAACTCACTCAGGACTGTGTGAACCAAGACCAGAGTCAAGAGGAGGAACTGGGTTTTTTGACGGGCAGCAAGAAGAGCCGCGAGAAGTTGTTTGTGGAAGTGTCAGGAAATTGAGTTGTTACGGTCAGCAAGGCAGAAGAGCAGGGAGATTCAGAGGAGGATGGACTCAGAGAACGTGGAGACTTTCAGGAAAGCACGGGAAGATGACTGGACGCAGTCTGACCTTTTACTTCCCTTGAGAGCAGGAAGGACAGCTGCGTTCACACAGCGGTTAACTTGCCAGGTTCTTTGCAGGAACCCATTCAGATGCAAATCAGTCACCTGGACTTGCTTCCGCCCTGCAGGCCACCTGGACTTGATAGCTATCCTCTTGCAAATTATCAGATCTGTTCTTTGGAATTGAAAATATTTTTACCTGGTTCGCCTGGCTTTATGTCCTCGTGTTTTAGATTTTATTATTTACCATTAAGCCCTGACATTTGATTTAAGATAATTCCAGTCATTAATATATAAAATAAGCTATTTAATGAAGTCTATGAATACTTGCCTGTCATTTTTGCAACAGTGAAATTCTATATTATGTGCTGAGATTTGTCGGCCTCCTTGGTCTTTCTTGAAACAGTGCTGGTCTTGAACCTGGGACCCCGCACATGTGACGCATGGAATCTGCCACTGGCTGTGTTCATGGCCCTAAAGTTCCCGTGTGCTAAGCCATTTTGAACATTGAATCCATTGTTAGCTGTCATCATCCTATACCACGTGCTAGTATAAGTCTTGCTCCCGAGTGCAGTGCCTGCAGAGGTTGGAAGAGGGCATCAGATTCCCAGAGCTGGAGATAAAGGCTGTTTAAGCCAGGGACTGTGGGTGGACGGCCAGAACTCGGGTCTTCCACAAGAGACTCGTAACTGCTGAACCATCTCTCCAGTCCCCAATCTGCTGTTTTAAGACAAAAAACAAAACAACAACAATAAAAACTTGTTTCCGTTTAGTACTATGTTCGCATCTCTCTGACAACAAGCATTAATTTCATCATTTGCCATAGGTTTTCAAAACTGGGCAGAGTGAAGTCTGGAGGTCTAAAACAATTCCCTGAAGCCCCAGAGGGAATCACTTTAGAGAAAGCACTCATCATGCATCAAGTTTTATGCAACACTACTTAAAGAAGCCAGAGACAATGTGGATCTTGACCATCAGGAACACTGTGTAAGATAAATACAGATTCCTTAGGACTATAACTTTAGAAAAAGCATTATTCTCTCTGATACCATGTTTGCACAGTTTTTCTCTGAAGAGCACTTTTGAAGACATCATTTGCTATTTCAAAACAAACTCAACAAATTGCCCAAGCCAGCTATCTTTAAATATATTTTTATTTTCAATTGACACATAGTAATTGAGCACATTTATGGGCTGCAGTGTGATGGTGCAGTAAATGTGTACAATGTGTAGGGATCAGATCAGGGTCGTTGGCCCTGATCTCAGACATTTATCACGACTTTATGTTAGAAATATTTAAATTTTCTCCTGTACTAACTAGCCATGTTGAATATGTAATTAATTATTATCAGCTATTATTATCCTGCTGTGCTATTGAATATTAGGGGCTATTGCTCCTGTCTAGCGATACAACAAACAATCCTCTGTCCATCTTCCCCTGCCTCCACCCCCTTCCCAAGTTCTGGTACCCACCATCTACTCTCTACCTCTCTGAGATCAGACACAAGGATAAACTGAAGGACATTATATCAAGTGAAATAGGACAGGTACAGAAAGGCAAATTTCCATTTTGTTCTAACATGCAGAAGCCCAAGTGACTGCTTTGGGTTAATGATTAAGTTGGATAAGAATCTCTCCCTACTGCATCGTTCCTATTCACATAAAAAAAAAAAAACTTCCTCTTTCCTCTACGCTCAACTCACAACAAACATTATTAAATAAAGATGCAGGCTCTGCTACCTCCACGTCCTCATTCAAACACTGCTTACTCAAAACCAGTTCCCGTTCTGTGTTCCAACTTTCATTCTCTGCAGCCGGCTTCCCTAGACCCACTAGCCCTCACCTTCCCTCCCCTCCAGCAGCTTCGCACATCATCACCTCCTTCTTCTCCACATTTTCTCTTCTCTTGGCTCTCCTGACACCGCGCTCCTCTGGCTCCTCTTCAGAATCACTGGCTGCTCTTCCTTCAGGTCTTTTGCCAAATTCTTCTGCCCCTTTTGAAGTTAAATGTCCAGAAAAACCGCCATCTGTTCCCTCTCTGTATTTCTGCCTTAGTTATCACACGACACCCAATGGCTTTAAAGGACATCCATATGCTGACGGCTGCGAAAGTTGTGTTTCCAGCATGAACCAACCCACTCCCAAGCTCCAAGTTTGTATTCGGGCAACTCTATTCAAATGTGTAGTAGAACCTCAAGCTTAAAAGATCTGTAATGCTCCTATGCCCACTTCTTCAAACAACAGCAAAATCTTTTGATTTTTTTTTTCAGTTTTTATTACCCCTATAACTTAGATCACCAAGGATCCCATTGGCCAACATGGGATACAGGCTTAGATTCTTCCTTTCTGCCCCCTCTTTCAGACTTAATCCTGCCACATCTCAGAAAAAAATCTGGTTCCCTAATTGCCTTATCTTCTGTTCTCATTCTTGTGACAAAACACCTAACAAGAGACAATTTAAGGGAAGAACTGTTTTGGCTTGCAGTTTGAAGAGACACAGTCCATCATGGTGGAGAGGGCACAAGAGCAGGATTGGGTGCCTGGTTGATTCCATTTCATGAGCAGTTAGTAAGCAGGGAGTGAACCAAAAGTGGCAGGAGTCTATAAACCCTCAAAGCCCACCTTTCCTGATCTACTTTCCCTAGAAAGGTTCCGCCGAAAAGTTCCACAACCTTCCCAAACAATATCACTCACTGGGAACCAAGTGTTCAACACATGACCCTTCATAGTCAAACCACAAAACTAATAGTTTTCAAGTCTGTCCACTTATTTCTGTGCCTACCACTAACCTCTTACTTTAAGAAATGCTTGAAGATCTATCTCGTAGGTTTCTGTATTCCCCAGCAATATGCTCTGAAAGTGACTTAATTTCTCTAAGCATCAGTTTCCTTGTCTACACAACAGCTTAACTGTGGTGATGAAGGAGATGCCCCTTATAGTCTTGGGCATTGAAATACCTGGTCCCCCGCTAGAAGTAGTGTGTGGAAAGGATTATGAGGTATGGCCTTGCTAGAGGAAGTCTGTTACTGGAGTAGGTTTTGAGGTTTCAAAAGTTACATAACATTCTCGATTAGCTCTCTCTGCTTCCCATTTGTGGATCGAGACGTGTGCTTTCAGCTATTGCTCTGGCATCATGCCTGCCCGCCTGCCTGCTGCCGGGTTTCCCTGTGATGATGGTCATGGACTCTTATCCTCTGGAACCATAAGCCCCAAATAAACCCTGCCTTCTGCAAGTTGCCTTGGTCATGGTATGTTGTCCCAGCAAGAGAAACTAACTACCAGAGTGGCTTACGGTACTGACTGGGCTGGGAAAACTAATAAGCTGCTATATACACACTTCTGAGAATAGAAGTTGAAATTTTTAGGTTTAGCTAGATGGCTCTTTTTGGATGAGCTTCAGATAACAGTACCTAATTCTGAATAAAATAAAAACAGTTTTCTGAAGGCGCTATGGAATAACCAGAAAGCAGACAGAGTGGAGCAGAGCTGCCACATTGAGCACAGTAACCAGCCCTGCTTCTCACTTGTCAGCCTTGAACCTGAAGGCTGACACCTTTGTGTAACGCTCCATCAGAGCCCAGCAAGGACAGCTACACTTACTGGGGACTGAAGGAGCCAGGGGACAGTTTGTTGGAGCCACATCCCTGGAGAGTGAAGAGAGGCGTTCAGAGGATGTGACAGCCACAAAAGCAGGACCAAAGTCTCAGTGGATGTGATCTCCCCAAATCTTTGGCTGACCCCTGAAGAACATACGTCCAAGGCAGATTTCAGGCACGCAGCAAAGGCTACATTAGAAGGTGAAATGATGTTGGGATTTCTCCACCCTTGCCATCCTCCACCATGAGAAATAAATGTATTACTATAAAACCATAGTAAAAACAAGACATTTTAGTAAACATTTTAGTCCAGTCTTCACTAATCGAAAATTCAACTGATAAATTAGCACTTCTCATAAAGAAGATAACAGAATTCAGAACCTATGTATTACCTGCACATAAGATACAATCCAGAACCACTGTATGTACAATGAAACAGAGGAATACGAACCATATCAACCCATAAGGAAATAGATGGAGACTGCTGACCCAGCTCCTAAAATTAGCAGGTAAGGATTTTAAAGTGTCTATGGAATCCTGCACAATATAACACAATATAACACACACACACACACACACACACACACACATTCATCAAAAATTAAAGTGCAAGAAAGGAAACTATGACAAAAAGTTAAAAGAAAAATTCTAGAATTGAAAAAATACAAACCTGAAATTTCAGAAATCTTCATGAACCTTGATAACAGCAGGATGCCATCAGCAGAAGGAAGTGAAGTGTTAGCAGCGGACTGCCCAACCCGAAGGAGAGAGAGAACAAACTGCAAAGCTGCAAGGTAGTCCTGAAAAATCCCAGGATGTTCATCGGAGACCCAAAGGGAGAGGACAGAAAGAGTGCAGGGTGT